TGGAGAAAAAGCCTCAGGAACCCAAGATCTCAGGGACCCACCAGACCAAACCTCCAGTGAAAGAAGGAGACAAAAAAGAGAAAAAGGAACACAACAGAGAAAATCCAGGACCCAGCACTACTCACAAGAGGAAACTATCCCTGATGACCGATAAGGCCCAGAAGAAGAAAAAGTAAATTGTTGTATTTTTTTACTTGAATAAAATCTGTGTTCTTGTTTCTATTGTGTGTTATTGTTTTTTTTTCAGTTTTCGGAAAATCACTGTGAATGAGTGACGTCATAATCAAATTCTTGAGTATTTGCCAAAATCGTAGTAGCAGCGTTATGAATGGTAGTAGCAGCAGCGTATAGTGTATAATGTAAACACAGTGTAAACAGACCCCCGTATTTAGGGGGATTATATGTACTGAATTGACCCGGCTATCCCCCACAGGGGCTGCACTCCCTTGACCCACCTATCCCCCCACAGGGGCTGCACTCCCTTGACCCGGCTATCCTCCCCCAGGGGCTGCACTCGCTTGACCCGGCTATCCCCCCAGCCCCAAAAGTGCACTCAGTTGACCCGGCCATCTAGGCCCGTTATACTACTGGCCAGCATCCCCATATGTACGATGAGGTCCTGCCGCACCCTCTCCAAATCCTGCGGAGTTAGGGGGACCACCCCCAGATACTCTGCCAGTTCATTAGCCAGGTCATGCCATCTGGCCCCAAAACTCCACTACAAAGGCTTAAAGCCTCTCTGGACAACGGCTCTAATCTCATTTAGTGCCCGCTCATCATTCCTGCCCTCTTGGGGTAGATGGAGCGAGCGGGCAATGGTCCTTAAGAATTGAACCATTCTGACAGGTTGTTCTATCCCCACTGGGCAATGCACATCAAGAACATGCCGCGCCACAGGTCCGGCACTTGTGAAAGTGGTGGGACAATCTTCCACCAAACAATGCCGGATGCCCCGCTGACCAGGACGCCGTCTACGAGGTCGGCGGGAAGGTGGTGATGACTGAGCAGGCTGCTCGTCTGCTCGGTCAGCTCCAGGCTGGTCCTCCGACTCTCCAGTCCCCTCAGACCAACTCTCGGCAAACAGCTGCAGCTCATCTTCCATGATCTTTTACCACTCCTGAAACATATAAAAAAACAAATTTAATGACATGGTAACCCCGCTTCTACAGCGGGGTACTTATGGTGCTACCTATTTCCCCTGTAAAATCACCCCCCGCTTGGAGACCCACTCCGTCTAGCCCTACACCCCTACCAACTTGCAATCGGGGCAGTGATAAATTGCCATCTGTTTTATTGTTGCTTCTGTCCCTCCCACGCAACCTGGGTGAAACAAGTCTTTGCAAGTATCACACTGTACCATGAAACCGCGGGGGTTTGTGGTCTTACAGACACAGTACTGATATCGCTTGGATTTTGCCCGATACCGTTTTTGCCCCTGGTCCACCTAAGCCTGGGGTCTAATCGACGAGCTCGGTTGCCCCTGACTTGTGCCAGATCAACTTCGGGTCCTCAAATAAGGCGCATCTCCACTTGTATCCGCCTTGCTTTGCTTCGGTTTTTCCGAGGGTTTGAGGTTCTGGGTCAAAGGTTGATTATGAGTTTCATGAGTTATCGACTCCTACTCCTCACGTCCCTTGTAATCTTTAATCCATTTTGGGATTTGGCGCGCATTACAAGCCTTGAGTTTGTCATGGTGCATGACAATAACATCCCGACGAGTGCGGATTGAGTAGATTGTGTCTGATTTGACTTCCAATACCACTCCCGGACCCAGCCAAACAGACTCAACCTTCTTTTCAGCATTCCGCCTCCAGTACACCAAATCCCCGACCTTGTATTTCCTCTCACGGAGATGGTCATAATCCCTTTTCATGGTCTTTTGGGCTGTCCGCAATTTTTCTCGTGCCACTTCATGAGATAATCTGAGAGACTCCTCAAGCCCAGCCACATATTTGTCAACAACCCCCTCCCCCCCATTTTGTAAAGGCTCCCCTGGGGGAGGTTTAAACATGAGACTGGCTGGACTGTTCACTTCTCGTCCGAGCATTAGATGATTAGGTGTATGCCCAGTATGACGGTTAACTGCCGAGCGCATTGTCCCAGCTAACAGGTCCAAGTGAGCGTCTCAGGCCTTTGGGTCATTGTCAACATAACATCTAACTGCATCCATTAGGGTGCGGTTATACCGCTCCACTTGGCCATTACCCGACGGTCTATATGGCGTGGTCCGTGACTTGTGTGTATCAAGTAGATCACAGACCCTTCTGAATAGCTCACTTTCAAAGTTACGGCCCTGGTCAGTGAAAATTTCAAAGGGGTAAACAAAACGCACAAAGAATTTGTTTATTGCCGCTCTGGCAGTCACTTCTGCGGTCTGGGACGGTAGAGGAACGCACTCCACCCACTTAGTGAAACTATCCACCATCATGAGTATGTACTCATTCCCCAAATTGGTGCGAGGGAGTTGCCCCAGGAAGTCTAAATGCACCTTCTCCATTGGACTCCCAGCCTGGTAACGTTTGAGTCCAGCTCGCGAAGGCAAAGAGCCACGCTTGTTTCGACAGCAGGTGTCACACGTAAGCACATACGTTTTTATTTCTGAACCCATTCTCCACCAGTAGACGTTCTCTCTGGCCTTTGCCTTCGTGCACTGCTCCCCTTGGTGCCCTGAGCTTGGGATGTCGTGCACTATGGACAAAACCTCCTTCCGCAAACTCCTAGGGACTAAAAGTCGATCTGGGTCAGATGTATCCACTCTCCATATCACACCATCATTGTCCAGTTTAAATTGGTCCCTTTCAAAATAGTAGCATTTTTCCTCAGGCCCTGACAAGAGTAACTCGCTTTCTGTTGGTTTTGACCCAGATTTTAGAAATTCCATGAGATAACGTAAAGCAGGGTCATCGCGCTGCCCCGCTGCTATCTCCTCCGAGCTGTAGGATGCCAACGATATACCTGTCGCGTCCCCTGACAACTGCTGCACTGTGAGATTGTCCTCCTGAATGGACCCCTCAACCCAACACTGCGGGGCTGATGGAGCGTCACGGGCAATAGTCATGCATATTTGCGGTAACCGAATATCTTCAGGATTAACATCTGGGGTAGTACACTCAAGCGGCCCAGCTATAATGAATCCTTGCACCGCTGGAGCTAGAGAGCCAATTTCCATCTTGGTTGCGGACGTAGAGTTATCAGGGCTTTTGCTTTCAGAGAACAACGAGGTAAGCGTTACCACATCATCTCTCTCCTCGAAGAAATCATACCATCGCTCTTGGGCGCGCCGACAGTAACGGCACCCCCCACAAGGCAGGTCTTCGAGACGAACAGACCTTCCTAAGACTTTGCAGGGCTGAACTATTTCTCTTGAGAGTGCGTCAGCGTTCGTGTGTTTCTTGCCTGCACGATGGACAATGTTCATGTCATATTGACTTAGCTCCTCAAGCCACCTTGCTATTTGGCCCTCCGGATGGTGAAAGTTAACTAGCCAGGTCAGGCTATGGTGATCCGTTCGCACTATACACTCCCGTCCCAGAAGGTAATGGCGGAATTGCCTTGTGAATTTTACAACCGCCAAGAGTTATTTGCGTGTAGTGCAATATCGACGTTGCTCGGCAGAGAGCACAGCGCTTGCGTAACCTTTTGTTCGCTCGCATCCATCCTGAATCTGACTTAACTCTCCCCCAACCGCGAGGTCCGAAACGTCCGTGTCGAGGATGAATTGCCCACTACTCGTGGGGATCGCAAGATCAGGCGGACTGGTAAGACGCGCAACCAGCTCCCTAAAAGCCTGTTTCTGCTCTTTTTCCCATCGAAAAGAAGCCTTGCCAGTTACCGCATACAGAGGGCCGGCGATTTCGGAGAAATGGGAAATAAAATTCCTATGATAATTCGCGAAGCCTAGAAACCTCTCAACTGATTTAGTGTTCGTTGGCACTGGCCAATCACGAACGGCTTCAATATACTGGTCGCCCATTTCTACCCCATCCAAGCTAATTGGTCGTCCCAAGAATTCGACCTTCTGTCTAAAAAAACTCGCATTTTTTCGGCTTGAACTTCAACCCATAGAAAACACTTGACGCATGTTATCCAGGTGTGCGCTTGGTGAGGCTCCCAGGATGAGAATGTCATCCAGGAAGGCAAGAGCAATCTTCCAATTCAACCTCTGCAAGACAAGGTTGATTGCTCTGACAAAGGTCGCGGGGGTAATCCAAACTCCATATGAGTAAATTCAAACAGTCCGTGCTTGGTTATAAAGGCCGTCTTCTTTCGGTCTTCGGAAGCGACCTTAATCTGCCAATAAGCGGCATTGGCGTCGAGCTTCGAGAACCACTGATTACCCGCTAGTGTGTCAAGACACTCTTCGATGAGAGGTAGCGGGTAAGTATCCTTAACCGTAACTTTATTTAGAGCTCGGTAGTCAACGCACCACCGTACACTGCCATCTTTTTTTCTAACTAAAACGGGGGCGGCAGCCCAGTCTGAATTTGAAGGCTGTATTACCCCTGCTGCTAACATCTTATCCAGGTGCCCTCTTCTTCCCCCTGGAAAACGGCAGGTGTGCGTCGCATCCTTTGCTTCACAGGTCGCGCGGTTCCAGTTTCGATCCGGTGCTCTAAGGCATCGAAATTCCCCAAATCTAAGTCACTTGTGGCGAAGACATCGGCATACTCATTGATCAATTGTAATGCCTCCTCCCGCACCTCGGGTGGGGCATGAGTGCGGATATCTTCCAACAGAGTCTGAATATGTGACTGGGACTCTATCTGGCCCTCTGAACTCACCTGTCGCACAGATGTGGATGGTTGCCCCACCTCATGTGCAGGTAAAGCTGTGGCCAGCGGTTCTCCTGCGCGAAAAATATGACTTCGCGGAGTCATGTTTATGAGACATAATTTTCCCTTATTCCCCGTCTGGTTGAATGTGCGGGATGGGGAGACACCGACCGGGAAGTTATTTGTCGGTTCTAGGATGAAATCAGGTAGCTCCTTCTCTATATTGCAATCGATAACCCCCACAGACAAAGGAGGTAAACGTACTCGCCGGACTGTGACACCCTGAACTGAGTTTGTGTTAGCCTTATGCATAGCTTGTATAGTCATGCTGCCCCCTACCCTTAGTTCACCAGCTCCGCAATGCAACTGCACTTCATTTTCCTGCATAAAGTCGATGCCAATGAGCATATCGTCCTGTAGGGGTGCCATATACACCGGATGCCTAAGACGCATGTCCCCTATCTCAATGTTCAGAGGACCCAAAAGGCCTACTGACATGGTGGCCCCACCTCCAGCAAGGTTGACGTCGATGTTGGAAAGGATTTTTGGAGGCGGAGACATTTGTTCATAGACCCTTTGTGATATCAGGGTTATTTCGGCCGCCGTGTCAACAACCGCGCTTACTTTAAGGCCATTCACTACTATGGGTACTCGCCACCGCACTTTCTACGCACCTTAACCCCCCAGATCTCACTGAAGGTATAACTCGTCGCTGCCCCCACAGTTGGGGATTTTGAGAAACGCACATGTTTGCCCTCAGGCTCCTTGTCTTGGCGCGAATTTGAAGGAGCTGGCGACCCGGATCTGTGTCGATTTGGACACTCACGGCGGAAGTGCCCTACTTCATGACACTCAAAACATTGGCCAGACTCCTGCGGACACCGCCATGGGCTGGGGGAAGAACTTCCCCTTCGACCCTGAGTAGCTCCGGCCCCTTGACCTCGCCCTGACCTACCACGCGAACTCTGCTCAGATCTAGGTGATCTTTCTTGGTCGCGACCTTCATACGTAGCTCTACGGGGGGATGGAGATTTTGATGGCTCCCCACCGGATGACTGGCTCTCACCAGGTACGGAGCGCACCCCTTTTCGTCGGTGGGCTAAGGCTTGGCGACTAAGTTGGTATGTCTTAATTCGGAGTACGGCCTCATGGATATTGACAGGGGGGCTGTCGATCAGCCTTCTGCCTGCGCGCACGTCGAGGCAGCCCATCGCAAACCGCAGCACGGCTTGCTCTTGGAGCACTTGTCCCGGGACTCTCGCCCGTACTGCTCTAGGCTCTCATCCGTCCCTTGAGTCATGGAGTTAAACTCCACTTGCGACGCGGCCTGCAACGTACTCTTGCCGAACCGTTGCTCAAATCGAGAGGCTACTTCATTGAATGTCATATGCTCACCCCGTGAAGAGAACAAGTGGAAATATCTCAGTGCTGGTCCCTCTACTGAGACACTGGGAGCCAATAGGCTATCATCGTCATCCCATCCATAATAACGAGCCAAAGTTCTAAATTTTGCATAGAACAAACCCCACTCAAGGCCACCAGTGTATTTAAGACTCTGAAAACCTGTCATAAGTCCCGAGGGACGAACTTTCCCTAACTGATGGGGGCACTGATGGAACCTCACTACCAAACAACCCAAGCCCAGTTGCTGGACTGGAAAAATTGACAACTGGTATAGGCCCACTACTCGATTGGCCTCTATGATACCCCTGTCCCGAGATGAGTGAACATGAGTGGCTTTGGGTCCCGGGGGATTCCATACATGCCGGTACATATGCCCTCTGAGGCATATGTTCGCCATGGCCCATGGAATATGATGCATCTGGACTGCTATACAAAGGCTCCCCCCACGGCACCACCCCCTTACTTCTTCGCAACAGTGCTTCTCCACTATGCACCTCTGAGGGATTCCTAACCCCATTCCCCTGACTCACCTGACTGGGAAACACTACCCCTGGGGTATCCCCATATTCACTGAATGCATGAACATTAGTGCGACCCACTTTAATTCCCTGTTCTGACTCGGGTTGACCCCCCTGTAAGAAAGCTACATGACTATTAGTGGGAGTGACTTGAGTGTTGCTTGGAATACTAGTCACAAATGTGTGAACTCCTGAACCAGTACCCCCTATTTGACTACTCATAGTGGTTGTGTTGGACCCGCTCACCATATTGCTAGGGCTCTCCTCCCTGGAACTGGATCCCTGGGAGAAGCTACCTCCGTGGACCCTGATTTCCCAACAAATATCTGTGTTAGTTGGCTTAATTGGGTCTGAACCTCTTTCAACCAGGTCGCCACCTGATCATTGCTTGGTACAGACCCCAAGACTGGGTGTGGTTCATCCCCCGTGACCCCCCCTCTCAGGGGTTGTATTTGTACTTGGCCTATCCGTCTTCCCCGGGGTGAGGGACATATCAACCTCCCCGATTACAGTGCTATCCTCGCTCCATCTGACACCTGGCGTACTAAACACCGGTGGTCTAAAGGGGGTTATCAGACCGAATAAATGATCCACCCTGTCAGGCTGAGAGTCTCCCTGTGTATTGACATCCTGCCCCGGGGCTCCTTCTAAACCACCCGGTCTAGTTTCTTCACCCCTAAGGACACCCCTGCCACTCATGAATGCGGGACCCCCCTACCCCGATCAAAAAACCATTGCCGTTCGCATATACTGGTATATGTATGTATAATATATTTCCCCTTCTCTCTACCACCCTAATCGAGCACCATTAACCACTCCGATATCAGACTGCGACTGTAATATCACAAAAAACCTAGCAAAATATCAGGTCAACAGAGAACCCATTAAATTGCAATCACATATATGTACTATCCTACATAAATTTGATTAGACCTAACAAAAATTGCACAAAAAATTACCGATTTTATTCTACCAAAGAATTAATTCACTGTGGCCAAACCGCGCGGAGTCCCCTGAACACCGCTTCGGTCTAAATTGACCGCCGACTATCCTACCGGCGACGCCAATAAAGTGATTTCCAGAAAAATAGTAATGAGACAAATCACTTTAGGTAAATTAATATGTGTATTGACAAAAACAACCTTTGATTTAACTTACAAATATTCAAGACTATCAAATGTTGGCCTGGACCTCGTGGAACTTTTCCGGAAGAGAGGGAATAATTACTTGAGCTCGATCTGAAATATAAAAATAAACACCCCCCCCCCCCCAATACACTACACAGGCAAATAAAATCTGGTTTACGGGAACCCTCGCAGATTTACATATGAAATAATCTGAAAGATTTTTTTCACTTCTACATGGCTCAATATTAATAAAAATTTAATCCTTTTGTACATAATACGTTAAATTTAAGTAAGACTTGTCAGTAAATGTTACTTTCTACTTGCCTAATACCATACGAATTTAAACATTAAGGAAAATTTAAATTATCAAATAATAATCAATACAGTAAAACTCTGTAATTTGTTACATGCGCGGATTTAGAAGGGGGTTTGGGGGGTCAGGACCCTCCCTGGAATTTGCAAGGTTATTATATGTATTTACTAAAGCCCAAAAAAATATCTTGGTCCCCCTTGAAAAACGCAGAAGGGTATAAATGTGTTTGACGTTTGCGCGAGTTATGGATTTTTTTTGCTTGTCAAGATTTTCTAGGTTGGATTTTTTTCTCACTGTGGTGGACCCCCCCCCCCTTGGAAAAAAATTCTGGATCCGCGCCTGCGTTACAACCGTACACAAATTCATTTTAAAACTTTATACAGCTGGGGATCCAAGACAACTTCCCTATATTAATGTTGATGGAGACTAACGATATAAGATTGCACAAAATGTAAGAGATACATGTGTAACTGTTTTGGCATATTACGGTCGCTATATAAACAGTAAACAGAAATGTTAAAATATAAGCATTAAAAGTCAAATCTAAATGGTTAGCAGTGTGCATGAAAAGATAGCACTATTTACAAAAATGATAAAAATGTACATGCTGTTATTGTTTATAAGAAATGTAATTAGGTCTTTCCACCTTTCTGTGGAAAGACCTATTGATTTCCTTCTGTTTCTTTTTTTCCTTTTTCTTATTATTTTTTATTATTTTTCCGCCGTGTGATTTTGAGTTTCAAGATTTATCGTAAAGATTTTCAATTCATAAGAATGTACTCCGTAAAAGATTTTCGCAGTTGACCCTGCGTATATAAACTATGACCCCTTTCGGAGTTATTACCCCTTTCGCAAAAAAGCTTGTTATCGCTACTCCTCCGAAACCATAAACCGTAGAGAAATGAAACCTTCACTAATGTCTTCGACTAATTTAGTAGACACTTCATTGATTCATTGCGAAAGTATTCATTGACCCCTTCAATAAGTTATTGCCCCTGGAAGTTTTAGAATTTTACAAATAATTAAAAATTTTCAAAACAAGAAGACGTAGAGACATGGGACCAAATGCATAAGATTCATTGACCTTTGGTCTTGAAATTTATGGAAAGGTCAAAGGTCAAGGTCATTCCAAAACTGAGAAATTTAGCTCTTTTTATATCTCTTTTGTCTTTTAACATATACTTAATGTCTATGCATCATTAATATGTACTTTTAAAACTGTTTCAAAGATTTTATTCTTGTCCCCTAACATGAACCCATTTAAAAGTTATTGCCCCTTTTGCGAAAAACCTTGTTATCGCTACTCCTCCGAAACTTTAGACTGTAGAGACACCAAACCTTCACTAATGTCTTAAGGGTCTTTAGACCTAACTTCACTGTATAGGTGCAAAAGAATCTGATGACCCCTTGTATGAATTATTGCCCTTTAACTTCTTTATACTTACTATTAAACCTTGTATCTTGAAAACTATAAATGGTAGAAGCATGGGGCCAACTGCATTGTGACTCATGACCTTTGACCTTGAATATTTTGTCAAGGTCAAGGTCATTGCAAAAATGAGAAATTAAGCTCTTTTTATCTATCCTTTGTCTTTTAACATATGCAATCAGTCTTTGCATCATTAATATGTACACTTAAAACTATTTCAGAGATTTCATTCTTGTTCCCCAAGATAGACTCTATCAAAAGTTATTGCCCCTTATGCGAAAAACATTGTTATCACTACTACTTCAAAACTGTAGAGAGTAGAGGCATGAAACCTTCACTTATGTCTTAAGGGTCTTTAGGCACACCTTCATTGTATAAGTACTAAAGGATCTAATGACCCCTTATATGAGTTATTGCCCTTTAACTTCTTTATACTTACTATTAAACCTTATATCTTGAAAACTATAAATGGTAGAAGCATGGGGTTAATTGCAATGTGTCCCTTGACCTTTGACCTTGAAAATTTTTTCAAGGTCAAAGGTTAAGGTCATTTTTAAAAAAAATTTTTTTTTACATTTTCATTTTTTTTTCAAGCCATTTCCCTTAAAATTAAATTTATAGTGTAAAATATAAAACTATAAGAAATTTAAAAAGGTGGAAAGACCTCTTATTGTTCTATGAACAATAAGTATCCTAGTTGAAAATAACTTTTGTCTGATGAAGTTTCACATGTGTGATGGAATTCAAAAATATCTGCAGGTATACATCAAAATATAGAAAACATGTGTACATAATTTGCACCTGAAATGAGATAAATTCTGTCATTACTGATTTTGAATGTTTTTTTACAATAATGGAGATCATATCTTATGAAACAGGAAAACTTTTTCACTGGAGTATTTGGACATTATGCAAGTTTGTCTTTCAGCAGTATTCTATGTGCAATAGGACCTTAAAGTTCAATGCTTTGCATAGTCATTCCAATGGTGGTAAGTCACTGGGAATGGCAACATTTGCACAATTAGGTCTTCCATCTGTTCATTGGATCATTGTGACACATCGCCATGTCTTTGCAGCTGTGCTCTAATCATACTGTCTACAACATAATCCTTATAAACAGTATCTTCAAGCAGGCAGATTTCACATGTGGAGTCCCCAAAGGAAAGTGCTTCAACTTGTCCAATGACCTGTCTTTCACGAAGTTCTGTTTTCTGTGGACAAGAGTGAGAATTTAACATCGAAATGAACAACTTGTATTAATCAGTTTTTATTATTCATTAACCAAGGAATCAAAAAAATATATTAAAGGCATTGTTTTCATTAGCATTGTAAAAATTACTGAATTCATTAAAAGAAGAGATGAAAATCAGACCTGAAGGGTATCATATAAAGCCATTCTTGTAACAAGTTGGTTAAGGGG